ACTCTTAGACCTTACTTTGAACTTAGTTTCTTGGTCTTTAATTATGAAACCGTGTCTCGTTTTCCATTGAACATCTAAAATTATTTTTAAAAAACAACAGCATTATGAAACTTAGGTTTAAATTTGGGTTCCCATGTAACATTTTGGAGATTTGGGTTCATCACTATCTTGCTCAATCAGATCTTCTCAATTTCCTTATGTATATGAGGATGGGTGTGGGGCGGGCCAGGGTCCTCTGAGGACCTGTCCAGCCCTGACATTCAGTGATTTGTTGACCATTGAGCTTATGCTTCACTTCTAGGTTTCAGAGGTGTGCTTGACTCCCGACTAGAATGGTTTGACTTTTCTCATTCCCAACATCTGCTATTCCCATACGTTCTAGAAATTGCATTCTGACATACCCTGTATCACGTCACTGTCTTTAATAGCCATATACCACATAGCTAGCCAAATAAGAAGCAATGGTTAAAAGACAGACTATCTGGGTTCAAAAGCAGTTTCACTACTTAATTAGCTAGTCAGTTAACGTTTGTGTGTCACAGTTACCTCATCTGCAAAATAGGGTTAAAAATAACAACTGCTTAATATGGTTTTTCTTTTTAAGTTTTTTTTTTCTATCTATCTGTTTTTTTTTTTTTTTTTGGCTGCGTTGTGTCTTTGTTGCTGCGTGCAGGCTTTCTCTAGTTGCAGCCAGTGGGGGCTACTCTTCGTTGTGGTGCACAGGCTTCTCATTGTGGTGGCTTCTCTTGTTGCAGAGCACGGGCTCTAGGAGCACAGTTTTCAGTAGTTGTGGCACGCGGTCTCAGTAGTTGTGGCTCACGGGCTCTAGAGCACGGACTCAGTAGTTGTGGCGCACGGGCTTAGTTGCTTCGCAGCATGTGGGATCTTCCCAGACCAGGGCTCGAACCTGTGTCCCCTTCATTGGCAGGCAGATTCTTAACCACTGTGCCACCAGGGAAGTCCTGATATGGTTTTTGAGAGGATTTGCTGAATACATATTTGTAGAGTTCTTCCAACTGCCTAGTAGATAGTAAGTGCTATATAAGTGTTTGATTAAATAAACTAAAAATAGCAGTCAATCTAAATCCCAGGACCCGGGACTTCCCTGGTGGTCCAGTGGATAAGAATCCACCTTCCAATGCAGGGGGCGCGGGTTTGATCTCCAGTTGGGGAGCTAAGATCCCACGTGCCGTGGGGCAACTAAGCCCGCGTGCTCTAGAGACTGTGCGCCACAACTAGAAAGCCCACGTGCCGCAACTACGGAACCTGCGCACTCTGGAGCCCGCATGCCACAACTAGAGAGCCTGTGCGCTGCAACTACTGAGCCTGCGTGCATGCTCTAGAGCCCATGCGCCATAACAAAGAGCCTGCACGCCGCAATGAAAGATCCTGCGTGCTGTAACTAAGACTCAACGCGGCCAAATAAATAGATAAATATTTTTTAAAAGAATCCCAGGACTCAAGTGAAAATGCGCAGAGGAATTTGTGGCTGGGAGTTGGGGGAGGTCCCATTTCATTAACCCAGTAGTTACGGTTACCATATTTTCTAAATCAAAAATCAGGTCACTTTGTCTGCAAAATATTTGAGTTCCACTTCGGACTTCAAGCCCTGTGAGAAGAACTATCAAAACTGGGTATAATGATGATGTTTTTTAAGACTGCAAGAGTCTTTGAAATTGGAAACAAACACAGTACACATAGGTATTAGGTACCCTCATATCTTTCAAAAGAAAAGGTCATTCAGTATTCTTCCAAACAAATAAACCTCTAACAGTTAAAAAAATTCTGTCTAGCACAGAATATCTGTTTAGGCAATCACTGATACATTTTCCCCCTACCTCTATCTCTCTCTACTTCGAAACAGCAAAAACTCACTCTATGCCCAGTTCTCACACAGCCAGGGTCACCTACAGTGAATGCATTGATGGTGGCCTGAATCATTGAAAGAAAAAGAGGGAAAACCCTGTTGAAAGCCTACTTCATTTCAGCCATTGTGTAAAGACTCTCAGTCTTATTCAAACCTCAAAACAGTCTTTTGTGGCAGGCATCATGATTTGTTTTTTAGGCTGAGGAAACCTAGTGTGGCGAGAACTTTTGAAGGTTCACCCTGGGCGCATCTGCCTTGAAAGTCGGTGCCCTTTTCATTCTGCCCTCTGGCATGGTAAGGTAGCATCCCTGTGGTCCCTTTTCTGACCATTCACTGTTATCAGCAAAGTAACCAACTCACTGCTGACTCCTTTCCTTAGCTGCTGTTTGTTTGCTCATTCTTTCATTCGTTCAGGGTGTGTGACCTTGAGAAAAAAAATCACTCTCCTTTCTCCTATTCTTTTTCATTGGAAACAGTCATATTGGTAACTTACCTTAGGATCAGTCTTGGAGGTGCAACAGAAAAGACTTTACTATAGGAAGGAAATGGTAGACATAGCATCTACAAATGTAATGAATCCCAAATCTGTATCTTTCCCTGGGAACCCACAGACCTGTGGACCCCGCAGCCTCCTGGACAGCTCCACGCAGATGTCTTACAGGTCGCTTATGCTTAGCATCCATCAGTCAGCTGACGTCTGGGTGAAGAGGGGGAGGAGAGATGGCCAAGCAGACAGAGGAAGAAGTGCCTCTGAGGAGGCAGGTCCTGAATCAGTAAGGCGCTTGGCGTGTCTGAGGAAATAAAAGCAGTTCCAAAAGGCTCGAAGGAAGAGAGCGAGGGGGGAACGGGTGGGGAATGAGGCTGGAGAGGCAGGCAGGGGCCAGACCACAGGGTCTGTGAGTGAGGGGCTGGGCCATGTCAGGTCTGTTGTGGTCCCTCAGCTACCATAAACTTGCTGAGTGACCTTGAGCAATTGATATGTCTCCCGGGGCCTGAGAGATGGAGTTAGCAACACCACTGCACAGGGATGTGGAGAGGATTAAAAAGGGACACAAGTACGTGAACACGTAACTGGCAGAGGGTAAGCATTCAGTAACATTTTCTTCCATTTTTCTTGGTGCCCTGTCCTTTCACCTGTGAAATGGGGGTAATTTGACTGACTAATTGTTGGAGTTTCTTCCAGCTCAAAATGACTATGATTTTTTCTGAACTGGTCTCCCCCTTTTTCCACCGTTAGCTCCATTCCAGACTTTTCTTCTTCCTGTTCTCAAGCCCAGGAAACATCACCTTCCCCTGGGAAAGACAGAAGCCAGCTTTATGCAGCCAGGGAGGGGCAGTTCAACTGAGACCTCTCCTCTTCCTCCACCACCCTACTCTCATCCGTTCATTCATCTATTCACTTACAAGACATTTCGAGCCGCCACTATTGTGTGTGGATAGACTCTCACCCCTCAAATCTTACTCCTTTTCATGCCTTTTCATGGGCTCTGGTTGATCGGGAGAAACAGTACATGGTCAGGAAAGCCACAGAAGGATGCTGGTGTATTGCAGGCAGCCTCCCTGGATTAAGGGAGGTGGGTTCTAAAAATCCTTGCACATAGACAAATGGGGCGTATTTGCTTCTTATTTGAAATTACTGGATACAATTGCCTGCAATTGGTCTATTTAATATTTTTGATTTTTCCTGTGCTCTGTCAATTACCCTGATTGCTTCTAGGTAAAAACTTCAATCATCAAGTTTTAATTTCTCTTTTATGTCTCTCCCCTAACAGCTGCTCTTCTCTCTTAACAAGAAAGTCAAGTCTGGAGCACGATGCGTTGAAGCCCATTTTGGGGTATCAAGAATATCCCAATCTAGTAGTAATAGTAAATGTTTAACAACTGGATTGATGTGGAGGAGATGGGAGGTTCTGATTTGAAGCATGAGTCAGTTTCTCTGCTATAAATACTCCCACTGTGGTGCACTCCAAGCTCTCCAGGCTTCCCTGAACGGAGTCCGGCAGAGAGGCTAACAGTTGGTTCCAGCACGCCACCGCACCCAGGCCTCGAGACCTTAATCTTCATCACACTCCCTGACTTCCTTCCTGGTCATTCTGATTTCAGTTAATGGCACCTCAGTCAGCCAGGAAAGGAGGCCTGACGGTCACCATTAACACCTCTCATCCAATCACTAAATCCTGTTCATTTCCCTCTCAAATATAGAGTCTGTCCACTTATCCATCCCCACCGCCGGCGCCCTGGTCTGGTCTCCCGGTCCAGCCTTCTTTCACTGCTCCCGCACTGACTGCCCTTCTGGGTTTTCTCTGCCCTCCATCCTTACCCTGTTGACCAGTGTCCACCTTGCAGACAAAGTCAACCTACTGAAACTTAAATGTCATGCCGGTCTTCCCTGTCCGTGACCTTCCCTTTCCATTAGGATAAATTCCAAACACTTAGCATATCTTACCGGACATGGCCCAGCCCCTCACTCACAGACCCTGTGGTCTGGCCCCTGCCTGCCTCTCCAGCCTCATTCCCCACCCGTTCCCCCCTTGCTCTCTTCCTTCGAGCCTTTTGGAACTGCTTTTATTTCCTCAGACACGCCCAGCGCCTTCCTGATTTAAGGCCTGCCTCTTCAGAGGGGCTGCTTCCTCTGTCTGCTTGGCCATCTCTCCTTCCCCTCCTCACCCTGCTGTCAGCTTGCAGACTCCTCTTATCTTCCGGCAGTTTGCTGTCCTGTGTCAGTTTCAGCGTGATTTGCTAGGAAAGGCCTTTGCCTGGGTGGCTCTCCTTGTCTGCTCAGTGTCTCCTCCCTTGAGGGCCTGGAGTGACACCTGTCTTGTTTGCCGCCATATTCCCAGCATTGCCCACAGTACCTGGCACGTAGTTGGTGCTCCATAAATGTTGAATCCATTTCTTGGATTTCTGCGGGCCCCAGTTCCCTATTAAAGAATAAACTCTTACAGGGTCAAGCATGTTCTCCTTCCTATACTTTTTATCAGCAGTTTATCAGCTTAGTACAAAACGTAGCTAATGAATAATTTTACCACTAAATTTAATCATTTTCCCCCCACAAGGCATCTTGGAAGATAATTTTCTGCTTTTGATCGAGTCATGTTATCTTCCCTAACCAATTTCTTTTTTTTTCTCCTAGATTTCATTAGCTGTGATTCCCAAGTAATATATGGAGCCGTGAACAAGAATGTAACTTTATACACATCGAGTTTTAAACCCTTTAAGGAGATTGTGTGGAAAAGAGGAAAGGATAAAGTTGTAGAATGGGATGACCAATCTGAAGTCAGAGCTTTTCTGTCTTTTAAAGATAGAGTTTACTTAGACACTGTGTCGGGGAACCTCACGATCTGCAAGTTAACACCATCAGACGAAGACGAGTACGGAATTGAATCCCCAAGTGTTAGAAATAACAGCAAGTTCACCCTCAGAGTGATCGGTGAGTATGCCGTGAATTGGTTTGTTCAAATGGCAGATTTCTAACTATTTTAAGAGACTAATACTAATCATTGGTTTATGAGAAATAAAGATTAGTCATCACCTGTTGTCAGGGTTTTCCTCTCTTTCCGGTACACAGGAGCCACTTTCAGCTCCCTTGTCATCCTCTTGGTGAGGAGAGGATGTGACTGAGGTCAGGAGAACAGCACAAGTTGGGCAGAGCTGCTGGCAGCAGCATCCCTTGTCTTGCTGGGAATGGGAAAGGGATGTAGTGGCATCAGTGAGCTCAGAACTCTGAACCACGGATAGTTGGTGCTCTATAAATTACAGTCCCTGCTTCCCCTTGCAGCTCACACAGGAGGTGGGATTTTTTTTTTCCTCCTCTTACCACTTTAAACTGGAACTGGGGATAGGATACAGGTTCCTCTGTGCTTCTCGCTGACGTTTCCAGGTTATTCTCCCTCCCTCATCTCTAAAGCGCTTTCCTTGTTGCAGTCATCCAGAGGCTGATGGGTACACTTTAATGTTTCTTTTTTTCCCCGGTTTTATTGAGAAATAATTGACATCCATCACTGTACAAGTGGAAGGCGTACAGCGTGGTGGTTTGATTTACATGCATTGTGAAATGATTACCACAATAGGTTCAGCTAACATCCGTCTTCTCATATAGATACCATAAAAAGAAAAGAAAGAAAAAAGGAAAAAAAATGTTCTTCCTGTGATGAGAACTTAGTATCTTCTCTCTTAACAACTTACCTACATACCATACAGCAGTGTTAGCTATAGTCACCATGTGGCACATTGTATCCCTAGTGTTCATATATTTTATAACTGGAAGTTTATACCTTTTGACCACCTTCCTCCAAATCCCCTTCCTCCCACCCTCCACCTCTGGTAACCACAAGTCTGATCTCTTTTTCTATGAGCTTGGTTTTTTTCTTTTTACATTCCACTAAATCTAAAAAGATTTCTAGAGATTTCTCTCTTTTTAGAGATCATACAGTATTTGCATTCTCAAGTCTGATTTGTTTCACTTAGCATAATGCCTTCAGGGTCTATCTATGTTGTCACAAATGGTAGGATTCTCTCACTTTTCTTTTATGGCCGAATAATAGTCCATTTATATATACCACATCTTCTTTATCCATTCATCTCTTGATGGACACTTACAATGTTTCCATGTCTTGGCTATTGTAAATAGTGCTGCTAAGAACATCACCCCAATATTTCCTAATTATTTTAGTGCCTGGCTCCTTTTCACTGTTTCTGATGTTCCTGCTGTCATAATTCTTGGTGCTTTTGTAATATTTAAATAAAAGTTCTTTCTAATATCCTGACTTCTTAGTCCTTGCTCTCCTCTCCTGTAATGATCTTCTCCTTCACTCTGCCTTACCTCTCCCCACAGATATAATGTAGAACTTGTCTTTACCAGTGATTCCATTCCCTCCATCACCTCAGTATCTCAGTTCCACTTCCTCTGCTGGAAGCTCAGTTCCTCTGCTCTGACAACTCTGACAGTCCTTCCCCGACTGATGTCCTCCCTGCCCTCCTTCTGCAGCCCCAGTGCCGTGCTCACTCCCTGGGCTCACTCTGTTGCAGACACACCCAGCTTCTTTGCTCCTTTTCTGATTGGTCATGCTCAATGATTGAACTTTGACTGGACGAGCCCAGTCCAGCCAGGTTCAATCCAATGTTCTGTGCTCACGCCTTGTAGCTGCAGAAAAGCACATCACCTTGCAGAGTCCCACACTTTAAAATTCTGATGATTTACTGCAGCTAAACCCAATATGTTCCTAGTGTCTTCACTCACCCACTCCCAGCAGTTTACCTTTTCTCTCCTCAAACCTTGAACACCTCCTTCTCCAGACCCACTGCTCAGCTGAAGGCTTTGCTTCTTGTTTCACTGAGGAAAACGAGCAACCAGAGGAGAACTTCGACAAGCTCTCACCACCAGCCTATCTGCTTACCTGTGCCTGACCCTGTATCCCCTGTTCTCTACCATTCCTGTTCGGCAGTTCTTACTTTCAGCTTGCTGAGTTCTCATCTGGAGCCAAACCCTCTACTTGTGCCCTGGATCCCACCTCCTCTCATTATACTCAGGGATGTCACTTCTGTAATTCTACCCACTCTCTCCTTACAGTAATTTCCTCCAGGAGATAATGACTCATTCCCATCAGCATACAAATAAGCGATTATCTGTACCATCATTGCAAGCCCTCTTCTGGCCCCTCTACTCCTCCACCTACCACCCACTTTTCTGCCTTCAGTCTATAGAGAATCTACTGGAAGAGCTGTCTACATACCCCCTTTCTCCTATTCACTTTTAAGCTACTCCAAACAGGCTTTCATCCCCACTGCTGTACCCAAACTCCTCATGACTTCCTCATGAATAAATCCAGTGACTCATTCTCCATCCACATCTTTCTCTCAGAAGTTTTTGAAACAGCTAATCACTCCCTCCTCTGTGAAACATCTTCACCTTAGCATCCAGGCACCACCCGACTCTAGTTTCCTTTTAAGTCACTAACAGTTCCTTCTCAGTTTCCTTTGTTGGTTCGTTCCCTTATCCCCTTGCATCCCCCAACCTCTTTGTTTTAATTTATTTTTGGCCGCGTTGGGTCTTCGTTGCTGCACGCGGGCTTCCTCTAGTTGCAGCGAGGGGGGTCTACTCTTCCTTGCGGTGCGTGGGCTTCTCACTGCGGTGGCTTCTCATGTTGTGGAGCACAGACTCTAGGCACACGGGCTTCAGTAGTTGTGGCACGCGGGCTCTAGAGCGCAGGCTCCATAGTTGTGACGCACGGGCTCAGTTCCGTGTCCCCTGCATTGGCAGGCAGACTGCTAACGACTGCACCACCAGGGAAGTCCCTCCCCCAACCTCTTAACATTGGCGACTTCAAGGCTTAAGCCTTGGACCTCTTCCCTTCTCTGCCTGCATTCACACCCAGGTGGGTGGGCTTATCACATGTCAGGGCTTTAAATAGCATTCAGTGTTGATAATGCATAGATTTAGAGCTCTAGCCCAGACTTCCACTGAGCTCCTTAGGTGTTTATCTGACTGCCTACTCTGTCTCCACTCAGATATCTAAGTGGCCTCTCAAATCTCACATGTCCAGCAGTGAGCTCGTGACCTTTCCCTCAAAACCTATTCCTCCCCAAACCTTCCCCCTCTTGGTTAATGGCAGCTCCATCCTTGCAGTTGCTCAAGCTGAAACCTTGGTATCATCCTTGACACCTCTCTTCCTCTTGAACACCATATTCACTCCACCAGAAAATTTTGTTGGTTCTGCCTTCAAAATATAACCAGAATCTGACCACCTCTCATCATGTCTTCTGGTCTGATCCAGGACTGCTTCATTCTCACCTGGAGGATTGCAATAGCCTGCTAATTGGTCTCCCAGCTTCCACCCTTGCCCCTCTACAGTTTAATTTTAAACACAGAAGCCAGAGTGGTCTTCTTAAAACAGAAGTCAGATCACATCACTCCTCTGCTTAGAACTTTCTAGTGGCCCCATCTGACTCTGAGTTACAGCTAAAGTCTTTACAGTGGCCTACAAGGCTATATGAGATCTGGCCCCTGTGACCTCCCCTTGCTTTTCTCAGATGTCCTAGTAATGCTTTTGCCTCATAGCTGCCTTTTCTGTGCCGCCACCCAGCACAGCTCAACCTGTACCCATCTGTCCCCTCTGCTGCGTCACAGTTTCACTTGTTTTATCCAAGATGTGGGTATAGTTCTAGCCCTACTTCCTCTATGTTAAAGGGTGTTTTAGGAAGATCCAACTGGTGGCAAACTGTGTAAGATGGTTTCCAGGGGATGGAGAAGAGGCAGAGTGCAATATAGCAGTTCAAGTCTGAGCTGTTTGAGGTGGTCTCAGTGGAACAGGATATAGCTGGGTGAATAGCTGTCCCTCACCGGTTCAGCTACCCAGTATCGGAGACAGTGGGAGGAAGAGAGAATTTCTCTGTTGTTCACCGTTGTACCCCCGGAGCCCAGCAAAGGATTTGAATAGGTAATGGGCACTCAGCAGATACGGAAGCAATTGGTCAGGATGATTGGGAGGTGGGATGCACAATTTACAGTGATGGGGGGGGGGCTCTCAGACTGGGTGACTGGTGTGTCCAGGAGATGATGAACTCCTTTTAGATAAGGGAAGCTTGTTAGGGTGTGCAGGCATCCTGTTAGAAGGATCAGTCAATGCCTTTGAAGAAGCAAAAATCCTTAAAACCTGCAAGCTGGAGATTTGGCAGTTGTAGGGCAAGCAAACAAAAAGATTGATTCAGAATTTAAATTAGAATAGAATGCATTTTACGAGCCCCTGTATAGAGTTTGTAAAACTGAATTGGAAACATTTAAGTTTCTCTTTTTAAAACTTGATGAAATGTTTGAAAGTAATAATTTTTAAATAATTTAAATTTAAAACTTCCATGGTGACTCAACAAAAGTGCTTGATTTTGGTAGTGAGACTAAGTGGATAGTCCTTAGGAAGCTCAGCAAAGGCCTGCAGAGGAGCAAGGTGCAGGGGAGGCGAGTTTCAATCAGGAGGCACTGAGTGATATTGGCCGTTAATGTGTTGACTTCAAGTTCTGGTTTGGGAATCTGGGTTTTAGCCTGTGGGAGTGGAGAGCCACTGTATCTGATACTGGAGCAGAGAAGTGCCTTGATGAAATATATTTCTGGAAGGTTAATCAGATGGGAGGTATCTACGGTGGATTAGGAAGAGGAGACGCCAGGTTGGAAGCTACTGTGATCATCCAGGTAGACAGAGGTGTTAGTAGTAGATGTTTGGAAAGGAAAGAATCAGAAGACACTTCCAAGAAAGAGTTAATAAGATTTAGATTTTGGTTATAAAAATACATACGTGAATGTCAAAACGATTAGTCATACTTCTTTTTTTTAGAAATGAGGAAGTCATACTTCCATGATGATATGTTAAGACTAAACTAATAAGACTCAGTAACCTTCCGGAGACACCAGCCCCTTCAGAAAGGATACTTTAGACAGGGCATTTCCTGGTACCTCTAGGTTCAGAGCATCTACATCCTTCTGTGTAAGGGAACACCTGGCTTTCCTCCTTCCCTCAAAGTCCCCTTAAAAATTTCCACCATCAGCATTTAATAGTCCTTGCCCATCCTCTTATAACCTTTATTGCATGGAGGCTGGTAATGTTCATATAAGTACAATTAACTGCTCTATCCTTAAAAGGTGTGGACTGGCATATGACTTTTTATTAAAGTTTATGGACATATAGAAATGTCATCAGATATGTATAAGAAATTCTCATTTCTTACAGAATAGTGAGCTGAACTCATTAATTATAAATTGACTAAGTTGTCTTAGGGTTGAAGTAGGCACATTTCTTGCCAGTTGCTTAAGGCACAGATGTAACTAACATTTGTTAGATTATAGCTGTGGTAAGTCCCGTCATGGGCAGCGAGACTTTGGCTGAACTAGGTCCCGTCATGGGTAGCGGGACGTTGGCTGAACTAGATCGATAAACTAGAATCTGTAACAGAACAGGTGAACTTTTCATCTCCCAAACTGAAACTCTGTACCCATTAAACACGAACTCCCCATTCCCCCCTCCCCCAGTTCCCCGGCAACCACCATTCTATTTTCTGTCTCTAAGAATCTGGCTGCTGTTAAGAACCTCCTATCAGTGGAATCGTGTAAGATTTATTCTTTCGTGACTGCCTTATTTCACTTAGCATAACATCTTCAAGGTCCATCCGTGTTGTAGCATGTGTCTGAATTTCCTTTCTTTTAAGGCTGAGTACAAATGGGATTTTGAATGATCGTGGTTAGGATTATCTGTGGTGGGTTTCCAGTAGACCATGGGATTCTGAAGTGGTTAGTAGAAGAGGCTCCAAGTTGCTGCTTGAGCACTGGGTCCAGCAGTCATTTCTGCTCAGGACCTGTTCTTGGCCAAATCATGAAGCATGGCTTCTGGGCCTTCCAAGTGTCCCCTCACCTTCCTTATCCCTTTTCCCTTGAAACCAAGCTTCGTTGGTGCCTGCCTCTGCCACAACTCACCACTCGTCACCCTGCTTACTGAGAGCAGGTAGTCTACAGTGAATACACACTTGTGTGTGTGTATGTGTCTTAGAGTTCTTTTAACTAAAGAACACAACTTGAAGGCAACATGTAATGAATTATGTGAGCTAGATTAAACCTAAAACTTGAGGAAACGCCAAGCAGAAAGCGAAGTCGTGTGTGACTCAGGTCTAACAAGACAGGCTGGGTGTGTTATTTAACTGAGCCAGAAAGAAGTCAGGAGGAGAAGAGGGAGGCAAGATGAGTTGAACATATTTATTTTTTAGATTATCAAGTGGAGCTTGTGTTCCTTTGTCTTAGAAAATATTTTAAGTGACAGCAGAGTATCGCATCATCTTGATGAACTTTAATTCGCTTTTTAGTAGATGTTTGCAAGGTATTGAAATTTTATTATCCAAATGCTACCATGACCAATTTTTGTATATTCCATATATTTTTACATGTTTCTCAAATCTCTTGTGATTAGTTTTTGGTGGAAAGGAGAGATGCAAGAAGGTATATGAATTAATAAACCACTGACTAATGGGGTGAGCCAGTTGGCTTTGAGGTTAAATTTAGAGGGTGATGATGGCGTGTCATGACTTTTGTCTTATCCATCCTTGCAACTCCAGCTGCCTTAGCCAGCAGGAGGTGCTTTACATGTTTCTCAAATCTCTTGTGATTAGTTTTTGGTGGAAAGGAGAGATGCAAGAAGGTATATGAATTAATAAACCACTGACTAATGGGGTGAGCCAGTTGGCTTTGAGGTTAAATTTAGAGGGTGATGATGGCGTGTCATGACTTTTGTCTTATCCATCCTTGCAACTCCAGCTGCCTTAGCCAGCAGGAGGTGCTTCCAGAATAAACTTGGGGGTGAGGCCTCTAGACCGACAGGGCTGTGACAAGTGCCATGCCCTCCTCTACCTCAGAGCGGGGCCAGCCCACAGTACAGCTCCTCAGAACCTTTTGCAAAATCCTTTGAGTCAGGTGTGCTTTGGAATTCAGCCTTCTTCAGATTTTAGAAATATATATTTCTAATATATTTATATATATATAAAATATATATAAATATATATTATATTCTTCAGATATAAACTGTCTCCTCTTTGTGTGTTAAGAGGCACTTCACTTAGTTACGGAGAGCCGCTTACTCAAGCATGCAAATATTTTTAGTAAAACATGGCAATAAATATTTGTGAAAAATCTTTTGGCTTTCGGAACTCTTTGGATTTCAGAATCGAGGATAAGGCATTTGGGGCCTGTATCTATGTTGAATTTGAGCAGATAGATCTGACCCAGAAGAAGAGAATTCCCTCCCCTTGGTGCTCAAGGGGGTGGACTGCTCGTCTTTTCAAGCTCATAAGGAAGTTGGGAGCTCTTTCTTTTCTTTTTTTTTTTTTTTTTTTTTAAATTTTTGGCCGTGTTGGGTCTTTGTTGCTGCGCGCGGGCTTTCTCTAGTTGTAGCAAGCGGGGTCTAGTCTTCATTGTGGGTGGTGCACGGGCTTCTCATTGCAGTGGCTTCGCTTATTGTAGACCACAGGCTCTAGGGTGTGGGCTTCAGTAGTTGTGGCGTGCAGGCTCAGTAGTTGTGGCACATGGGCTCAGTTGCTCTGCGGCATGTGGGATCTTCTTGGACCAGGGCTTGAACCCGTGTCCCCTGCATTGGCAGGTGGATCCTTAACCACTGCGCCACCAGGGAAGCCCCTGCAAGCTCTTTCTGGATTTGCAGATGAGGAGACTATATTACTCTTTTCTGTACTAAACGTTACTTTTTTTTTTTCCCAGAGTCTCTTCCATCACCAGCACTATCTTGCACATTGATTGATGGGAACATTACACTCCAGTGCTTGATCCTGGAAGATTACAACACCCATCTAGAACTCATACAGTACTCCTGGGACTGTCCTTCAACAATACAGTGTCAGAGTGGCTCAAAACCATCTGAAGTGTATGTTACGAAGGAAGGTGATCTATCACAGGAAATTCAGTGTATCATTAGCAATCCATTATTCAGAAGGACAACATCAATCATTTTGTCAACCTGTGTCCCAAGTGGTAAGTGACTATGTGTGTCACGGTAGAGATCCTATATACACGTGGGGTTCATGGACCTACATACAAGTAGTGGTTCATGAATTTCATACCACAGATGCAGTAACTAACATACATTTCATAAATTTGAAACTTAAATTGACTTACAGTTTTCACAGACACTCTACTACAGATATAAAGCTAATATTTTTTAGTACTTTCTGTGTCAAGTACCATTCTAATACATATGTTAATTAATTCCATCCCCACGCAGTCTAGTAATTATCCTTATTTCATGAGGAGAAACCAAGACATAGTTGGGAGTTTAAGTTGCTTGTCCAAGGTCAACAGCCAGTAAGTGGTAGAGCCTGGTTTTGAAATCAGGCCATCTGGCTTCAGAACCCATGCTCTTAATTATTCACAATACTACTTCCTGATATCCTTCATTACCATTGTGTTCTTCAAGGTTGCACACGTGCAACAGGAAGGTGCCTTCAGGGACTTCCCTGGTGGTCCAGTGGTTAAGACAGCAAGCTCCCAATGCAGGGGCCGCAGGTTCAATCCCTGGTCAGGGAAATAGATCCCACATACATGCTACAACTAAGAGCCCGCATGCCGCAACTAAGAGCCCTCGTGCAGCAACTAAAAGACCCCACACGCGGCAACGAAGATCCTGTGTGCCATAACTAAGACCCAGCACAGCCTAATTAATTAATTAATTAATTATTTTAAAAAACTGCATTCAATACGTTTGTCTAGGCTAACGCTTGGTTAATAGCATGACAATCTGTCTCAGCTATGGTCTTTTTATGTTGCTTAAGTATCATGTATATTTGTAATTTATAATTCTTCTTATCTGTTTTATACATTATACCCCCAGTTTATAAACAGACGGATCAGTAATTTGAAAGTGGTTCACTGAAGCGTAAGAGATGAAAATAGTAAATACTGTATTTCAGGATAATATCACAATTGTGAGGTGTGAGCAGGATTCTAGGGCAGATAAAAAATGTGAGTCTCCTTGGGCTGGGGTAGGGTGATTCCGTGAATAAATGTTTTTCTTTTTTTAATATTTATTTAGGTCACTTAAGTAATGGAAATAGAATAGAAATTTAAGTCTCCCGATTTCTGGAGGTTTTTTCCCATGACACCACCCTGACTCTTTATATTATATTATCTCAAAATAAATCAAATCAAAAAAATTTTTTGGACTGATTCACAGGAATTGGCTAGTGAGAACCATACCATGTTAAATGAAAATACAGACTGGAAGATTTTGTAGGACTGAAGACCAAGTTTCTTCAATAAATAAATTATACGGGGAAGAAAAAGAGAGGTGATGGGGGGACTTAAAGTTTAAGGAAATTTAAGAAACATATCAATTAATTGCAATGTATGGACCTTATTAGGTCTTGATGCAAACAGAAAAGAGTAAAAAACAGGAGCAATTTAAACAGCGATTCCATGTTTGATGATGTTGAACACAATTTTTTAAGTCTGACGATGCCATGGTTATGTTTTACAAAGAATCCTTATCTTTCGGAAATACATACTGAAATGCTTATAGCTTAAAAATTGTGCTCTCTGGAGTCAAACAGGGGCTCGCACCTCTAATTGCTCCATAGCAAGTGGGAGGGGAGAAGGAGAGAGATGAAGCCTGATCCTCCCCTTTAAAGATCAAGTGTAGCATGCATCACTTCCATTCACACTCCCTTGACCAGTCTGAGTTCATGGCCACATCTAGCTGAGGGGGGCTGAGAAGTGCCATCTTTTGCTGGCCATGTGCCCAGTTAAAACACAGGGGTTCTCTTCCCAGAGTGAAAAGGAGAGATTGCTTATTGGGGAACAACAGATACTTCTACCACAATGTACTACAAAATGAATATAACTCATACCATTTTAAAACATACACAAAATCTAAAAAACTTAAAGAATGACATAAGTAGTAAAAATAGATAGAGGTTCTAATTTTTTTTGCACCTCATTGCTCATCTTATGTTCTCCCTGGGGTTATGTGCCTAATTTGGAAACTCTTGGTCTAAGCAAGAGAAGATGGTGTCTTGGACTAGTAGAGTTGGGAGAAGTGGTTCCGATTAGGCTACATTGGAAAATAGAAACAGGATTTTCTAATGGTTTAAGTGGAAGAAAGGTGTCTAAAAAGAAATACTCAGATGACGCCTAGATTTCTGGCACAAGCAACGGAATGAATTGTGTTGCTATTGGACTGGAAAGCAGGGCAACAGCAGGTGTGTGGAAGAAATAGAGTTTGGTTTGGGACATGTTGTTTGAGATTCCCGTTAGATTTCAAATGGAGACGTCAAATACGGTCCTGTGATTTATGAGTCTAGGTCTCTCGTGAGTGGTTAGGGCTGGAGATGGAGATTTGGGCATAATCAGAGTACAGGAGGCATTTAAAGCCTTGGGACTAGGAGAGATCATGTGGAGAAGCAGTCATCAGAGAGGGGTGCTGAGACTGAGTCCTGAGGACTCCCGCATGTAGGGGCTGTTAAGGGCAGAGGATCCAGCAAAGGAGACTGAAAAGGATCACTAGGGAGGAAGGCAGAAAACCCCAAGAACTTGGTATCTCCAAAGCCGAGTGAAGAGAGAGCGAGCGACTGTCAGTGCACCGGCCAGGTCAAGAAGGAAGAACGTCATTAAGAACTTGTATCATTGTTGTTTCATCTCCCCTAAATCTCTGCTGTCCCAAAGCGATGACGGCATCTGGCATCGTCCCGTGGGAGAAAGGATTTTGGAAGGGACTGTATCAAGTAGCGTTAGATTCAGCTGTTTAAAAACATTTTTTTAAATATCAGTGACTTAAAAATGTAGATTACTTCTTTCATGCTAAAAAAAAAACATTGGGGAGGGAGGGATAAATTATGAGTTTGGGATTAAAAGATACACACTATTGGGCTTCCCTGGTGGCGCAGTGGTTGAGAGTCCGCCTGCCGATGCAGGGGACACAGGTTCGTGCCCCGGTCCGGGAGGATCCCACGTGCCGCGGAGCGGCTGGGCCCGTGAGCCATGGCCGCTGAGCCTGCGCATCCGGAGCCTGTGCTCCGCAACGGGAGAGGCCACAGCAGTGAGAGGCCCGCATACCGCAAAAAAAAAAAAAAAAAAAAGATACACACTACTATATATAAAATAGATAAACAAGGACCTACTGTATAGCCCAGGGAACTATATTCAATATCTTGTAATAACCTATAATGGAAAAGAATCTGAAAAAGAATGTATATATATGTGTGTGTGTGTATATATATGTGTATATGTGCATATGGTTGGCCAAAAAGTTTGTTCGGGTTTCTCCATAACATCTTACAGAAAAGGTAAAATATATCAGGTATATCACTGTGCTGTATACCTGAAACTAACACAACATTGTAAATCAACTATACTCCAATTTTTTTTTAAAAAGGATAAATGATGAACTTTTCTCAACTAAAAAAATAATAATAATAATAACTGGAGGTAGGCAGCCCTGGGCACATTGCTACTTTATGCAGTTGTGTGGTCCAGCTCCTGCACCTTCCCTGCTATCTCAGGCAGTGGGACCCAGGGAGGGGAAGATGGTGTGTCTTACCCCTTTCAGGGAGACTTTTGAGAAATACCACACAACGCTTCTTGCATCTCACGGCCCAAAACTTGCCACATGGTTAAACCTTGCTACAAGAAAGGCTGAGAAACTAATCTTTTAGGGGAGTGGTGGTATGCCCAGCTGAAAATCTGAATTCTTTTATTAAAGAGGGGAGAATGGGTGTGGGGAGCGACTAGCGGTTTCTGGCCAGGGGCCTCTCAAATCAAACCAATGGATTATTGCCTATTTGCTCTAACCCACCTGTGTTCCTACTAAGAGGAAAGGGTGTGTGTTCATACTCTAATTCGTTCTTTCGCTTTCTCTCTCCCCTTCCCTCTCCTCCCCTCCCCTCCCCTCCCCTCCTCTCTCCTCCTCTCCCCTCTCTCTCATCCAGGCTGTACCTGCTGTGAGTGACCCCACCCTCTCGCTTAGCAATGTGTGGTGATTGTTTTGCCATGTCCTCAGTATTCTGCCCTTAGATTTTTAGTAGGTGGATAGAGTCCACCTCATGAACACACATCATTCTTTTCTATTGTGGACACTTCGGTTGTTTCAGCTTTTTGATATTGTAAGACTGTGGTAAATATCTTTGTGCCTTTTTTGGAGGGAGGAGAGGGGCACATAACTGATAGTTTCTGTAGGTTAATATCTTAGAAATGGAATTGCAGGACCAAAGGACGTTAGTAGAGATTCCAATAGCATCAACTCAGTAGGTTCATGGCAAGCGCTAATAGCTGTTCTTAAGTGTATTGACTCAATTAATGCTCACAATTACCCTAGGAGGCATATTTATCAGTTCCATTTATAGTGATCCCCAAGAGGAAACTGAGGCACTGAGAGGTTAGAGCACTAATCCAACGTTGTCGCAATGATTTGGTGAGCCTGTAGGCACATCATTTAGCACAGTGTCAGCGGCTGTATGATGAACATTTCTCAGGCTTGCAACGCATGGCTGCCACATTGCCCTGCCAAGCACACGATACCAAGCTGTGCTCCCACCGGCAGGACAGGACGGCTGAATAGTGGACTATTTGCTGCTTTTAATAAACAGCACTGGGCCTGATATGTATCAACCTTGTGCATATAAGTTTATTTAGAAACACAGTCGATTCTCTTTATTCACGATAGTTATGTTTTACGGTCACTGTAAACACAGAATTAGTGCATGTTGAACCATTGCTCCCAGGGGAGATAGAGGTTTAGGTTCCTGCAAGCCTCCGGTCACAACATTTTTGGCAAGGAGTCAATACAGAACCTTGCTTTATGTGTGCTTCTGTTTAAAGACACCTTATTTAATATATGTGGTTGATGCATGAACAGTGAATTCACAGCACCATAACTGATGCCTAAATGAAGCTTATCTAACACGTGTGTTTTCTCTGTAAGGCACACACAGCCTTCTTATGCTTGGGAACACGAGACAGCATTTCAGCACTGTGCTTGGGGGCCGTTTTAGACAGTGAAATAGACAACAAAAAAGTACAAAAATGGGAAACACATGGCACTAAATAGACCACAAATAGGGCACATGTCTACAGTACAAGGGCTAAAACACAGGGGCAGAGCATTGCCTTGAACCTCAGCCTGGGAATGTGGACATCAGGCAACGCAGGTTTCACCATTCTGTGGCCCATGTCAGCGCATGACCGTGAAAGCGCTGCAGGTATTGGTTTGGGGAGTACAAATAAATTTTAGCAAGTAGATAAATTGCAAATACGGAATCTACAAATAGGATCAACTGTATCTCTGTTTTGGTCAGTTCCAGCTAATTGTCTTTCTTTCTTTCTTTCTTTCTTTTTTCAGACAATACAAGGCACAGGACTGTGCTTTTCGCCATACTGCCAGCACTAATATTTGGTTTGCTGTTTTTAAAATGTACGTATACTTCCTTTTTTAAAAATAATAAGTTTTCAAACTGGAATTGGTTTTTCAAAGGCCAGAAAATGATTAATTTGAAGATGAAAACAAAGTTTGACATCTTAGGTGTTTCGAAAGAAACAGAACCTTTTTTGTTGTACTTGTTGTCTGCGGTTGCTGAGTGTGTCGGGTTCCCCAAGATTCTGCGTTATCTTGAGGTGGCATGAATCCTTGGGCCATAGAGAGCTGTACAGGAGTGGGAACACAGCCGAATATACTTAGGACTGTTCCACAGCCTCATATCTGTGGCCCACCTCAACATATAGTTATACTTCTGGTCTCAAGCCAGATTTTGCAAAAAAACCTCTTACTCTTGGCTGCCATGGTCATAATTCTCATGACTTATAGCCCAGAAGGAGGTCCCAGGTAGGAAGGAGCATTTGTTGAGTCAGGTGACGTGGAGTGGGTAAAATGACCTGGTATTACCTGTGTTGCCTTCCTGAACCTTCCTCAGCCTCCAGAAAGGAACCCATATGCCCTGGAGAACTGGTAACCTCATCCCAGCCTGTTCTTTCCTGGTGTCAAGAAACCCCTCCTCAAGTCCCAGAGGATGTTGACTAGGCTGTAAATTTCAGAGTAGAGGTTCTTGAAGCCCCATCAGTTTCCATATCAGCCTTCGCCAAAAGGGAATTTCCGAGACTGATTTGTCACTCTCACAGGGAATGTTGAAGAGGACGCTTTCTGCAAGGTGATGGCGTCCGGGGTCCATGTCATTTCACAGTCATGTCTTGAATCAAGTTCACAGACTAGATTTAAGTTTCCCTAGACCTGCAATGTTCATTCAATACAGTGGGTACTAGCCACGTACAGTGATCTAAATATAAATTTTAATTAATGAAGATTAAATAAAATTTAAAATTTAGTTTCTCAGTCATACTAGCCACATTTCAAGGGCTCAGTAGCCACAGATGGCTAGTGGCTACCATGTGAGACCAAATAGAGAACAATTCCATCATTGCAGAAAGTTCTGTTGGTCAGTGCTGACCTAGGCTTTTTTGGGGTATTGGCACTAGAATATGATTTCCCGAAGGTTCCATTTCTATATTGTAGGTTTCAAATACCACGAAGATCCCTAAGTTATAGATTACCAGTCAACTGAATGTCCTCCAAACAAGTTATAAAAAAGTCAGCTGAAGAAAGTTTTAAGCCATCATTACCAATACATAAAACATTTGGGGAGCTCAGGTGTTCTTTTTAAAAAGTTATTTTTAATCCCCAGATAGCAGTATCATAGTTAATCATCTCCTTAACAGATTGGTCCCCAGAAACCAAAATAATTTTCCACTCATGTGTTTTTCTTGGGAGGGAGGGAGGGTGTCTACCACCAGAACTCCTGAACCGAAGAAAAGTAGCACTGAGGACTTTTCTGTCTGATTTAACTTACTAAAAAAAAAAAAAGTTTGGGCTTCCCTGGTGGCGCAGTGGTTGAGAGTCCGCCTGCCGATGCAGGGGACACGGGTTTGTGCCCCGGTCCGGGAAGATCCCACGTGCCGCGGAGCGGCTGGGCCCGTGAGCCATGGCCGCTGAGCCTGCGCGTCCGGAGCCTGTGCTCCACAACGGGAGAGGCCACAACAGTGAGAGGCCCGCGTCCGTGTACCGCAAAAAAAAAAAAAAAAAAAAAGTTTATTCAGTGGAGGGAAACTTAACACCAGTGATCACTACTGGTAGCACCATATAACCTGGAAAAACAAATTGTTCTAAGAAATAATTACTTCAGCAAGCATCTCAACCCTAAAGTGGGAAAGTGAGGCATTTGGCATGGAGCCTTCAGAAGGGGAGAGAGCTGAATGTAAACAGCTCCATCGGCTAGCTGTAGTTGACACTTTTACAAGCTCGGTCAAGCCTGTGGACTTGGCTTCTGGACCATTAGCATGGCTCCAGGCTAGCTGATGCCTTCGATGGGGAGGAAACTGATGCACGCACGTGGGACCGTATCTTAACGTCCAAACCGGTGCTGTCCAAAATGGTAGCCACGAGCCACACGTGGCTGTTGAACCCTTGAAACAGGAGAGTCCAAATTGAGATGTGCCATCAGTATAAAATAGACAGCGGGTTTGTAAGACTTCTTATTAAAAAAAGGAATGTAAAGTATCTCATTAATAATGTTTATATTGATTACACGTTAAAATAGTATCTTTGATATGTTGGGCTAGTCAATAAAATGTATCATGAAAATTAATTTCATCCATTTCTTTTAAAATATAATTGCTCTGCTACTAATTTTACTTTATTTATTTTACTTTATTTTATTTTATTAATGTTTTGGCTGTGCTGCGTGGCACGCGGGATCTTAGTTCCCCAACCAGGGATTGAACCCGTGCCGCCTGCAGTGGAAGCACAGAGTCTTAACCGCTGGACCGGGTTAGGGAAGTCCCCATCCATTTCTTTTTACTGTGTAACGTGGCTACTAAGCATTTTAAATTACTTACGCGGCTCACATGATATCCCTGTCAGGCAGCACTGGTCCAGAACATTCCAGCCTTCCCTCCATCTTTAGCTTTATGCACAAGCTGCTATAGAAAAAAACATTCGTCAACAATTTTTGTTTTTCTATCATCTGATGACCAGTTTTTGAACAACTCTTTGGCCCAACTCTATGGCCAATTTGATGTAAGCATTTAGGAGAGTAGGAAATACCAGCTCGACAGGGCTCTGCTTTAGAGTTTTCCCAGTTCAGGTCTCTAGCAAGCAACTCCAGATTCCAGCTTTTCTTTTCAGCTCTTTAACTGAGATGAAAATGTCTTCGTTTGTAGGTTTTCTGGGACGCCCATAGCAGATAAACACGGAGAACTAGGTAAGTGTCCTGTAGACTGCTCAGTGGGTGCATTGTATATCGTGCACTAGAAGCAGAACAGCCCGATGTAGAGGGCCTATTCCTTGGGGAGCCAGATTCTACTTATCTGTCAGTTAGTTGCCTTGAACAGTAATAAGTTACATCAGCAGATACCCTCACCACAGTTCATTAAGCACCAGCTGGCCACTTTCCATGTAACATCTCATTGAACCCTCTCAGTGAGCTTTGCGAGGGGGTATCTTTACAGCTTGTTTAGAGACAGCAAACCTGAGACTCGGAGAAGTCAGGTCCCATCGCTCATAAATGTAGAGCTGGGATTCAAATCTAGGTCTTCAGACTCCAAGAGTTATCCTGTTACCCACCACAATCTGCTCCCTCCTTCTCCCATCCCAGGAAAACTGAGCCAAGGATAGGGTTCACGTCAGGAGCCAGGGTCAGAGCTGGGCCCGTATCGTGAACAAAAGAGAGGATCCAAACACAATGAACGGTGGCGGTGGGTGAAGTAAGTTGCCGTAAGGAGGCTCCAGAAGGCCCCGTCCTGGCAGAGTCCCCGTGGTCAGGAGGCAGGGGCCCACAAGCCGGGCTTTGAGGGATGAAGGGAAGAGTAAAGGCCCAGGGCTGTAAAAGGCAGGGTAGGGGGTGGCAAGTCATCCCTTTTGGGGGCAGCGTATGTTGGTGGGATAGAGGTTGAGCCAGGCCAAGATATTGAGAGAGAGTTGCCAAGAGGTTGGGTGATTTTTTTCTGGGAAACCACTGAGGATTGATTGATTGATTTTATTTATTTTTGGCTGTGTTGGGTCTCCGTTGCTGCGTGTGGGCTTTCTCTGGTTGCGGCAAGCGGGGGCTTCTCTTGTTGCGGAGCACGGGCTGTAGAGCGCAGGCTCGGTAGTTGCGGCTCATGGGCTCAGTTGCTCCGCGGCATGTGGGATCTTCCCCAACCAGGGGTCGAACCCGTGTCCCCTGCATTGGCAGGTGGATGGATTCTTAACCACTGTGCCACCAGGGAAGTCCCCACTGAGGATTTTTGAGCAGAGCTATGCTTTGGAAAGATCTCTCTGCTGGTAAAGCGTAGGGTGAATTAATAGACAAGAAGCTAGAGATGGGGACACTGGTTGGTGGATAAATAAAATAATCCAGCCAAGCAGAGGAGAGGTTGAATCGGGGTGGTCATGGCAGAAATGAAGGAGGGCTAGGTTTCAGAGAAAGTATGGATATCGTATGAACAAAGTCCCAGTGGAGAGTGTAGTCTGGTGCCAGACTCCCTGAGGTTAAATGGCAGCTCTGTCTCTCACAGCCCTCGGACAAGTCAATTAAACTCTTTGCCACCTCAGTTTTCTTCTGTGGAAAATGGGCATAACAATAGTATAGAAATCACAGTGATAGTGTAGGTAATAATAGCAGAGAAATAATATGTACAAACAAGTTATTGTAAGCAAAATACTTAGAAGAGTGACGGGCTCATAATGGTGCTCAGTAAATGTTAGCTGTTATGGTTATGATTATTCTTCAAGAAAGGAGCCAAGGGGCTTCCCTGGCAGAGCAGTGGTTAAGAATCCACCTGCCACTGCAGGGGACACGGGTTCGAGCCCTGGTCCGGGAAGATCCCACGTGCCGTGGAGTGAGTAAGCCTGTGCGCCACAACTACTGAAGCCCGCGTGCCTAGGGCCTGTGCTCTGCACCAAGAGAAGCCACCACAATGAGAAGCCCACGCACCACGATGAAGAGCAGCCCCCGCTCGCCACAACTAGAGAAAGCCCACGCACAGCAACGAAGACCCAACACAGCCAAAAATAAAAATTAATTGATTGATTAATTAATTAATTAATTTTTTAAAAGAAAGAAAGAAGCCAAAAGGGATAGGAATTCTGACCCTTGGCAGCATGGCAGGCACAGCGGAGGACTCAGGCGGGGCCCTTGTTTGGGAAGGTGAACTTGTGCTCTGACAAGCTGAGTTTGGGGTGCGGGCACACCACGTGGATAGGGGCGTCCAGCATATTGGAGAAGTGGCTTTAGGGGCTGGGGTTACAGGCTGGGGAGCATCTTTGTCAGAACAGTGATGGATTCCCTGAGCATTTGAGGTCACCAAGAAAGAGAAGCTGAAGGCCTTCGAGTGGTGGGCGAGGCAGAGGAGCCAGGAGGAGACCCAGGCGGCGCCCTGTTAGGGGTCCGAGGGGGAGACCACGTGCTAGAGCTGTAAGGAGGCAAAGCGGGAGGCAGCGGTCAAGACCTTTGGCTTGGTTGAATGAGTTGCTGACTTTCATGAAAGCCCCTGGGTGAGTGGTTAGAGTGGAGGGATCGCAGCACAGCAGTGAGGGTCTGGGGGCAGTCAGACCAATGGGTGGGTTTGGGAGGCTTCCTTTCTCCCCAGCTGCCAGCCAGGACAGTGACCAGGTCACCCGGGAAGTCAGCTGCAGCAGAAGGTCTGGGGCAAGGGGTTCTAGGGGACAGCTCAGCCAGCTTCAGTGTGCAGGGTGGGCAGGGGTAGTGAGTCTGCGAGGGGTTGATGGTCCAGGAGGCCCCATGGAGAGGGGTTGGAGAGGAGTCAGGTAGCCATGGATGAGGTGAGGGGCAGGGGTGCTAGCAGTGTGGGGAGAGGTAGAAGACCTGGGGGTTATGGTCAGAGGTGGGGCGTTTCAGATTCGAAGTAATGTGTGTGAGGGCAGGTGACGGTGAGATCGGAGGAGTGCCTCTGCTGAGATCCACTTGGTGGCAGTGGAGGCATGGCCATCACAAACAGTGACGGGGAATGTTGTTCATGGGAGCGCTGTCATCCCGGGCCGCTGAGAAAGGTGATGGGGTGTCCCAGAACTCACTCCTTTACCTTGCTCCTTTATTCATTCAGCAAATAACTTATGGAGATTACTAGATGTCAGGCACTGTGTTAGCCCATGGCTTGAGATCGATGTACCCAGTGAGGCTAGACATTGTGTGGGATTCAGAGAAAGCATATATTAAGGCTCCTACCCTGAGAAGCTTATGGTCACAGTGGGGAGAATGGATGAGTGTGTAAGAAACAGAAAGACTTAGGCAAGAAGCACATGGTGATGGGCTGGAATGGATGGTCAGGGCCGGGCAACCAACAAGGGGGAGGTGAAGAGGCCAGAATAATCATGAAGACTTTGAAAGGAGTACGATGTGAGCTAGATCTTCAAAGCAAGAGCAGAGTGGAAAAGGCATTCCAGCTGGGAGAATCAGCAGAGACATGGAGGGGAACGAAACCTGTCGTGGTTGTTTGATAAAGACGTCAACCTGCTTAGCATCAAGTTGAAGAAATGGCAAAAGAGACAATATTTGCAGGAAAATTTTTGGAAGTCAAGGGCATTAAAGTCAAGTGATATGGGAGTAGGGGGTCATTGTAGGTTCTGGAGCAGGAGAGTTTTGCGTGAAAAACATTGCTTTGGAATGATGAGCTAGGAAGGTAAAACTGACTTCTTAAGGTAACACCCCAGGGAGAAACCTAGGTAGGATGGGGTTGGGTGTGGGAGAGGAGCTTACTTTTCTTAGCGTATTTTTGTTTGCTATTCAGATTTTGTACTTCGTGTGTTTCCTACCCTATTTAATAATACTTTTTAGATTTAAGGAGCCCACTGTGGCTTCAGGGAGGAGTTCCCTCAACTCAGTTATTAAAGGGTTACAGATATGATGGAGGGGCAGGGCTTGGGGGAGGAGCTGGGGAGGGGCAAGCACAACCAGGAAGAAATGTGAATTTGTCACATCTCCGTGAGACCAGTGTCAGGAAGAGCTAACCCCAATTAAAAACATACGAGGGGGCCTTCCCTGGTGGCGCAGTGGTTGAGAGTCCGCCTGCCGATGCAGGGGACACGGGTTCGTTCCCCGGTCTGGGAGGATCCCACATGCCGCGGAGCGGCTGGGCCCGTGAGGCATGGCCGCTGAGCCTGCGCTCCGCAATGGTAGAGGCCGCAGCAGTGAGAGGCGCGCGCACCGCAAAAAAATATATATATCTGAGGGCAACCAAGTAAATATCAGATATCTGAGGGAAGTTGGGTGTGATATTACACTTCTCACCAAGACAGTGCTGGTATTCTTCACTTTTGGTAAATGTCTGGAAAACAGAGCCAACCAAATTAAAAAGGGAGCCGAGTCCCCCAGCTCTCTGGGAAGAAAGACTTGCAGGTGCTACCTCAGGCTGAAGGAGAACTGGAGATGCAGGCCTGATTCTTTGGCAGTGGATGCACCTGGCTGTGGGAGAGGGTGAGAACGTCCCTGCGGAAGAGCCTGTTAGCTGGAGAGCCGCTGCCCACTTTATCCCCCTCAGAGATCCACAGCACCCACTTTCAAGTTCTACAGGGTTCTTCGTAAGGAAAACTCCTATTTCCTTTACCTAACCCGTGACCCCAGCACTAAAGTTTTATGAATTCCTGTTACCAAAGGAATGTAGATATTTTGGGAGCTGTGGTCTGATCTGGCCTATGGAAATATAGACCGTGGGGGAGACAAAAAAAGCCATGGAATGGAATCTCAGTTCGCAGGGACTTGGTCAGGCAAGGCTGGAGCTGGGTGTTTGGGCTGATTTCCTCTGAGTTACCCAAGGGTGCTCTGTCATCACCACAGAGATGAATAATCAGAAAGAGAAGCTGAAAGAAGAAAACCACGCCCGGGGATTCGTGTGGCAAAGAAGGAGATGACTGTTAGAAGGGGTGACAGTTTACATATGGCTCTTAAGGGCCCAGCCCTGTTGTTTGGAGATTTCATTTATACTCAGAGACTGAGTTGGTTTGAGAAGATGGGACTGTGAATTAGTGCTGTGCACTGAGAGTAGCACTTCTGGTGGATCTCCAGCTACCATCTCGTGAGAGCCCAAGACCAATCTCCCTCCATCTCTGCTCCCTAGAACCCTTGCTTTTGATGGGTTTATTACAAAAGGGCTACCCGCATTAGAATCGGAGGGTAATTTATAGACTCATAGACTGCAGCACAGGCTGACTGCAATCTATACTAATATGAGATATTTCTTTTATAGCACCTGTTGTTTGGTAACAGAAGATGAAGTCGAACGTGTGCTAATTACGTTATTTCAGTCACTTTGAGAAGGCATCTGATTTACCATTTGAGTATTACCTCATCCTTGAGGAAACTTTGGAAGTCTAACCTGAATGGACCCTTTATAAGAAGCAATGTTTCAGGACTTCCCTGGTGGCGCAGTGGTTAAGAATCCACCTGCCAATGCAGGGCACATGGGTTTGAACCCTGTTCCGCGAAGATCCCGCATGCCGCGGAGCAGCTAAGCCTGTGCGCCACAACTACTGAGCCGGCGCTCTAGAGCCTGCGAGCCACAACTACTGAGCCTGCGTGCCACAACTGCTGAAGCCTGCATGCCTGGAGCAACAAGAGAAGCCACTGCAATGAGAAGCCCGCACATTGCAACGAAGAGTAGTCCCCACTCACCACAACTAGAGAAAGCCCGTGCACAGCAATGAAGACCCAACACAGCCAAAAATAAAACAAATGAATAAATTTATAACAACAAAAAATAATGTTTCATGGAAGAAACAAGGACTAACAAACAACAGGCATTAGTTTCTACTCTGTCACCAACACTGAGTATCACCAGATACTATCTTGTCCCATAATTGTTTATTATAAATTGTATTTTTGGAGAAATGTAAATCTTTGTAAATAATGTAAGTATGTATATATATATATGTGACCAAGTGGCTCTTTTTTTCTTGTTAGGGTTGTAAAACAAAATAGTCACATGACTCAGGAGGTGAAGGTTTTTTACTAAAATCTATAATCCACTCTTTGGTTTTAGAGGAAAAACAGTTCATTGCAGGATCAGTAGCACGGTAGTTTATCATGTTAGTTAGCTGTCACATTGGCAGGTAAACAGCAGAGAACTCTTAAACCAACTATACTCCAATAAAAATTAATTAAAAAAGGAAAATTAAAATTTTAATTGTATATTTAGAGAATTTGTTTCAGAAGCGTAAGTTTGTCATTCATCAAAAAATACATTTTTGTTGTACAATGGGCATTATTTGTAAATTATGAGGCTATAACAATTTCATGTTCTTCCCAAATGTTTAAATTTTAAGTAACCAATATATGTACTATTGTATATGTTTGAAATAACTTCTTCAATCTTACTTGCACTGTCTCCTCTCAATAGAAAATACTAACCTGAAAAAATTCTTCATCTATTTTTTTCCTCTTTCCTAACTGCAATCAGTCTTAAGTGAGAAATGAATTATTCTTGGAATTCATACTTTAAAGTGGCAAAAATGGGAAAAGTTATAAGATACTTTGGGTGTTAAAATCTGTATCTTGATCAGCACCCAAAACAAACAAACGAACGAAAAAACAAACTGTAAAGTGATATACACCAGGGGTCCCCGACCCCTGGGCCTCGGGCCCGTAGCGGTCCTCAGCCTCTTAGGAATGGGGCCGCCCAGCAGGAGGTGAGTGGTGAGCGAAGCTTCACCTGCCGCTCCCCATCGCTCTCATTACCGCCTGAACCGTACGCCCCGCCAACCCACTGCCCGCAGCACCGGTCTGTAGAAAAATTGTCTTCCAGGAAGCCAGTCCCCGGTGCCAAAAAGGTGGGGGACCGTTGCTGTACGCATGCAGAACAGCAGCTTCTCCTGGATAAAGAGGTGAATTGCCCCAGCTCTCCCCTGGGCGGCCATCATAGAAACCCGAGATCCCTGGAGTCACCGTGCAAAGGCCTTTGCTCCTGAGCCCGCACTCTCCCTGCAGTTCCTGTCACGTGAGAGTCTTCAGCCTGGAAGAGGAGATGTTTCTTCCCTCCAAGGTGCGTGTTTGCAAAGGGGCCCCGGGACACAGTGACATCCAGCTCCCCACAGCGTCAGTAAGAGGGAGACCGAGGCCTGGAAGCCCTGCGCACCCCAGAGAAGAGCCCCGCTTGGCCTCCAGGTGGCTTAGCTGTCTAACGAAATGTGTCTTCTGTACTTTGCTCCCCATACGCTCTCTCTGGCCCTTTCTGACCCCATCAGTCAACAGTAAAATTCCTAGTATCCTCTTCAACGAATGTTCCTGTCCCCTTTCTGTTGTCATGAACCCTGGCTCTCCCCTAGGTTGCTGCTTCCCGCAACCCTCTCAAGGGGAAGCTCTCCTCTCCTGTGCGCCTTGTATGCTGGTCCCAGAGGGAGGGGGGCGTCCTCGCGGCTCGTTCCTGCTTTCAGACCATTGCTCCTTGCCCAGCTTTGATGCTCACACCAGCAGATCACCACCACCTGATAGCCTTTTTCCGAGTTACCCTTTTTATTCCTCGTGGCGTAAAGATGTTTAGTACCAGGTGGAAATCACTCTCCCTTAACACTGCTCCTTTCGGAATCTTGAGTGTTTTCAAAACCTGCGAATCATGGTCCCCCAGGGCTCTTCCTTTCCCAGCACCGCCCTGGCCCTGCTCCTGACCTTTTTATCAGTAAAGCCCGCAGTCTCTCACCATCTCAGCTACAAGCATGCCCTCTCTGCTTGTCATCTTCCACACCACACCCTTGAGGGCCCCGAATCCCAAACTCCTGCAACCCCACCAGGACCTGCAAGCCAGCCATCCTGCCTCTTCCCTGGCCCTCAGCTGCTCGGGGTCCTCGTTCTCCTCACTGTTTGGGGTCTTCAGTGTGCATCAGTGTAATCACTCCTCTAACCCTCACTCTTTACCCCCTCACTTGGCCAAACCCCAACTGTGGTTATAGTTGCATCTACTAGTTCCCTCCCTGCATCCAAACTGCTGAACACCCTGGAGAAAAACACACCACCCAGCTGACAAGTTTGATTTCAATGACCGCAGACCTCAAAGGGACTCACAGTGTTTCTCAGCTGTCCTCGCTGCATTGCCCTGGTCCGTTCACTGCCTCCTCATTGCTCTTCTTAGACCTGCAATACTAACAACCCTCAACTGCTCAGCCTGCTTCCCGTATCACTGAAAACAAAAGCACGGAGGAGAACCCTTCTGCCGCCTAGCCCCCGCCTTCCCACCACACATCTCCTCAGCCAGCTGCATCGGCACCCATGTGCTTTGCCTCTTGTTACCGTGGGTGAAATCTCCTTGCTCCTAAAACCAATCTCTCCACTTGTCTTAGTGTGCTCGGGTTGCCATAACAAAATACCATAGACTGGTTGGCTTAAAACACAGAAATGTATTTGTCTCAGTTCTAGAGGCTGGGAAGTCCCACATCAGGTGCCGGCCAGTGTGGTTCCTGGTGAGAACTCTTCTTGTCTGGCTGTGTCCTCACATGGCAGGGAGAAGAGCTGTGGTGTCTCTTCCTCTTAGAAGGGCACCAATCTACTGGATTGGGGACCTCCCCTTATGACCTCATTTAACATTTATCACCTCCTCGAAGGCCTTATCTCCAAATACAGCCACAGTAGGGGTGAGGGTTTCAACGTGAATTTTAGGGGACGAATCACTCACGCTGCTTATGCACAGGACATCATCTCCCCTCGTCTGCGGAGGGACATGACTCTTGTCTTTATCCTCCTGTCTCCACATCATCAGCTTTTACTTTTCAACGACGTCATACAAACATACTGTCATTTCTCATATCTTCAAAAAACCAAAATGCTCTTGACTACACTTCCCCGTCCAGCTCTTGTCTCATTTTTCTGCTCTCTTTTATGAAAAGTTCCTCAAAAGAATGATCTGTACTTCATTTTTCTGACTCCTCTCTCCCCATTCTTTCTTTTTTTTTTTTTAAGATTTGTCTATTATTTATTGACTTTATTTTTATTTTTGGCTGCATCGGGTCCTAGTTGCGGCACGCGGGATCTTCGTTGAGGCATGCGGGATCTTTCATTGGGGCGCGCAGCCTCCTCTCTAGTTGTGGTGTGCAGGTTTCCTCTTCTCTAGTTGTGGCGCGGGCTCGAGGGCACGTGGGCTCTGTAGTGTGTGGCGCACAGCCTCTCTCGCTGAGGTGCGCGAGCTCGGTAGTTGAGGCGGGCGGGCTTAGTTGCCCCACGGCACGTGGGATCTTAGTTCCCCGACCAGGGATCGAACCCCGCATCCCCTGCATTGGAAGGCGGATTCTTTACCACTGGACCACCGGGGAAGTCCTCCCCATTCTTTCTTGAACACACTTCAATCAGCCTTTCACCCCCACTATTTGCCAAGCTTACCGATGACCCCCTCATTGTAAGATCCGAAGGTCAGTTCCCAGGCCTCATCTTACTCTGTAAGCAACATCTGAAGCAGTGGAAGACCCCACACACTTTTGTTTAGTGCTTTCTAGGTGCTAGTGTCCATGGGGTATTCGAAGGAAGCTCATAGCATGACAGGGCAAGCAGACCTGTGAGCACTTGTGAGGAGTATACCATATCCTAAAATGGAAGTGTATGCAAAGAATGAAGGAAGTATAACCACATGACCCAGCAATTCCACCCCTTGGTATATACCCAAGAAAAATATACACATATGTCCACAGAAAAACTTGTACACGGATGTTCATAGATCATTATTGACAATGGCCAAATAATGGAAATAATCCAAATATACATCCACTGATGAACAGATCAATAAAATGTGGTCTATCCATACAATGGAATAATATTCAGTATAAAAAGTAATGAAGGTCTTTAGTGGTGCAGACTATACTGTTTGGTGATATATGGTAAAGAAAAGGTCATTCGTACTCTAAATGATGGGGGAGGAGGGAATACTGACTGTGAAGGGTCATGAGGGCTTCAGGGGAGTTGACATTGTTATTTCTTGACCCACATAGTGTTTATGAGAGAATATACTCTATGGTGTGTTCGTGTAATATTAAAAAACATTTTTCGGGCTTCCCTGGTGCTGGCGCACCGCAACGAAGAGTAGCCCCCGCTCGCCGCAACTAGAGAAAGCCTGTGCGCAGCACAGCAACAAAGACCCAACTCAGCTAAAAATTAAAATTAAAACAAACAAACATTTTTCATGCCACGGAGCAACTAAGCCCATGCACCACAACTACTGAGCCTGTGCTCTAGAGCCCGTGAGCCACAACTACTGAGCCGGCATGCCGCAACTACTGAAGCCCACATGCATGGAGCCTGTGCTCCACAACAAGAGAAGCCGCCGCAATGAGAAGCCCGCTCACCACAACGAAGAGTAGCCCCCGCTCGCCGCAACTAGAGAAAGCCCGCGTGCAGCAACGAAGACCCAACGCAGCCAAAAATAAATAAGTAAATTAATTAATTAAAGAAAAAAAAGAAAATTAGAGGTGATTCTCAAGTTGGACATTGTGTCCAGGCTCCCATGAGGTGCCATTAAAAAAAAAAAAAAAAAAAAACTGAAAAACTATTGGGAGAGTTACATTTAGCTTAATGTCCTACTTTTAGGATTTCAAACCTAATTAGATTTGCATTTGGATAACAGAAACCTACCTGTATCTGCGTAGAACGAGTTTCCCACTGAATTTATAAGTAGCTAGCATTTAATTATTTAAGGCAACGATAGAAGATAGGTCATATTTGAACACCTACCTTTCACCAGTAAATATTCTTAGATTCTGTTCTTCAGCAGTTTCTGGGTCAGAGTTTATTGTAATTTGTTACTGTTTCCACCAAGACGGTAATTTGTTCAACCTTCAGTGTCACTTGCCCTTCAGATGGTTTTCCTGTTATCGGAGGAGGGTTTATGTGCAGATTTGGACTCAAGTTATGTAAGCTCTCTTGGTCTCATGTATAAAACAGGGCTAATAGCATCTACCACATGGGATTGTTGAAGATGACAATTACAAATCGTTAAGCACAGGGCCTAGTTTACAAACAGTAGCTACTACTATTGCCCATTCTATTCTGCGAATAAGGTTGAAGGTTTTCCTGAGTTTGGTGCTCACTGGCCGAAAGTTAGAGAACAGACCAATCTTTTAGGATGTCAGCCAATCTCTACTGGTATTCTAAACCTGGAATAGATCTTGAATGCAAAGTTCCTATTTTACTAATCCAGATTTTTTTCTCTCTCCCTTGAAAATATTGTGGGATTCCCCCCCATTATATAAATAATATATGCTTTTATTTTAAAAAGTATAAGATAAAAAATTTTAATAAATAAATAAAATAAAAAACATTTTTTAAAACTAAAAAAAAAAGGTAATGAAGGTCTGACTCATGCTACTACATGGATGAACCTTGAAAACATGCTAAGTAAAAGAAGCCAATTTAAAAAGACTACATAGTATACAATTTTATTTATACAAAATTTCCAGAATAGGGCTGGGAGGGTGATGTTGGGGCGGGGGGGGGAGGGAGTGACTGCTCATGAGTACAAGTTTTCTTTTGGGGATGATGAAAATGTTCTAGAATTGATTGCAGTGATTGCACAACTCTGAATACACTAAAACTATTGAATTGTACACTTTGAATGGGTGGATTCTATAGTATATGGATTGTCCTAATAAAACTGTTATTACTGAAAAAGAAACTAAGGAATTGGGACTTCCCTGGTTGTCCAGTGGTTAAGACTGTGAGCTTCCACTGCAGGGGGCACAGGTTCAATCCCTGGTGGGGGAACTAAGATCCCGCAAGCTGCGCGGCGTGGCCAAAAAAGAATTATAGAGGAGGCTGGCATCTCATCCTGAAGTAGGCCTTCCCCATCAGCTTCTCAGCCCAGGCTCAGCTCTCAGCTCTTTGGAGGCTGAAAGGCTATGTATGCAACTTCCTTCCCCTCAGTACTCTGACTTCATTTCTCCTCTCTACCCGGGGCTGAAAGTTAGCAGGTCAAAAAGCAACTTTCTGTTTGGAAGTCTGAGCAAAGAATTAGCTTCAGACGCTAGCTACTGAGTCTATGAAAGCCCTTTAAGCCAGAGTTTAATTTAGAATCTTGAGACAGATTGTCCCATTGTGTTTCTCCCTCCTCCCCTCTTAGCCAGGCTCTGCCCAGTGTACACATCCCCCGGTCATCTGCCTTCTTCTGCCCACCCGTATCTACACTGCCCCATGCTTCCTGCCCCTCTCCTCCTTCTGTGGGTGTCCTCGTGCAAAGCCACTGGAACCTCCTTTGCACCGTCAACAGTCTACCCTGCAGCCTCAGCCTTGTGTTTTAATCACACCCATCTCTGCATCCCCTGGCCCTTCTCCCCAAAACTCTGTCTCCACTGGCAGCCCTCTCCAAGGGACAAGCGGGTACTATCACTCTCCTTGTTTCACAAATGAGAAAACTGACATGTACTTGTTCAAGGTCAGTCAGTTATAAGTGTCAGAACCAGGATTCAAACCCAGGCAGTGTGGCCCCAGTGGCCTCTCGACCACCAAGCCATACTGTGATAATATAGATGTGTGTGGTCTGTTTTTCCACATATAGTTAGGAGTCCTCAGAAATGCTTTTCCAAGTTTTGTTTTATGTTTACTCAAAGGAAGAGTGTATCTTTAGGTATTCTCTAGAGAGGGGGCTTGCTTTTAACCACTTGTGTTGACCGTGGATCAAAGGCACCAAGATTATGCTGAATTCTACCTTCTAGACTCAAAGCTGGAGGGGTTTCCAGAGGTCTCGTTAGACAGATGAGGAGACTGGGGCTTAGAGAGGGAAGAGAACTGGACCAAGCACTCATAGCTAGTCCAGTGAAAGGCCCAGAAGCAGGAGCCCTAAAATCTTGGCCTCGTCTCCAATGCCTTCCTTTGACACCAGGGTGCCTCCCAACATCCACCCTCAGTTTTGTTTTGTTTTTTCAATTTCTATTTTCAGTACATTAAATTTACTCATAAAAACATTCTCAAGATGTATAATTTTTCCTTTTTAACAAAGTCTAATAAAACATAAAACCCCCCCAAACAGAATACTTGACATTTACCATTCAAAATCAAATTAGCAGAATATTAAATACTTACAAAACTATATCTTTTAAAAATATTTATAAAGTTACATGCAATTTTGTAGAATTGACTTAAAAGAATAGCTCAAACATGGGAGAATTTCCCTTCATTCCTAAAAAGAAAATATGTCCAATAGAAGCTGTGAAGATTCTTTTGCTTTTTTAAAAAAATTAACTTATTTTATTATTTATTTTTGGCTGCGTTGGGTCTTTGTTGCTATGCATGGGCTTTCTCTAGTTGCAGTGAGCTGGGGGGCTACTCTTCGTTGTGGTGCGCGGGCTTCTCGTTGCAGTGGTTTCACTTGTTGCAGAGCACGGGCTCTAGGCACACGGGCTTCAGTAGCTGTGGCACGCGGGCTCATTAGATGTGGCTCACGGGCTCTAGAGTGCAGGCTCAGTAGTTGTGGCTCACGGGCTTAGTTGCTCTGCCGCATGTGGGATCTTCTCGGACCAGGGCTCGAACCTGTGTCCCCTGCATTGGCAGGCGGATTCTTAACCACTGCGGCACCAGGGAAGTCCCTGTGAAGATTCTTGAGTGCACGAGGTCTTCAGTTTCAGTACCAGAGTCTGTCTTTGTGCATCTAAGACCTTTACGTATGTGAGGGGCTTCTTACAACCCCAAGATGGACTGGCTGCCGCTCCCCTCCCGCCGAAAACAGTGTAGTAACATTGACCTTTGGCCTCAGCCAGCATGGTGCATAATTTGTGATGTTGAGTAAAAATACTCAGTTTGCTTCAGAACCTCAGGACTTTTCAGTGATTGAGCCTCTTCGGTTTTAACCCCCGACCAAGTGTCAGATTTGTACACCAGCCCGAGGAAGCACAGCGCTGGCTATTGGGACCACGTAGTGGGAGGCCTGGCTCAGCTCAGGCCCCCTTGAGGGGTTGTGGTGCGAGCCGTCTTGGGTGGTATCCATTCCCCTGGGTCGGAATGGCAGAAGTGAGAGCAAAGTGAACCAGTGTGTGGGTTGCCCGGGCTGCCTGTGTTAA